GTTAAACTGCCAAAGCTCTAAAATTTGGACATCATAAGGCTAGCAATGCTACTTTTGGAAATTTCAAGGGTAGCATTAGCTGCTAACCTTAGGACATTATAAGGCTAGCTTGAGCTGTTGACTTTTGGACAGTTCAAAGCTAGCTAATACACTTCTCCACTTTGTTATGTGGTGATTTGATTATAATGCGGTATGGTAAATTCATGTTACAATGAAAAATAATAGTCAGTGATCAAAGAAAGAAAGCTAAATGAAATTAATTTAACATATGTTGTTCATTTAATCATGTGTGTTGTATTTAACTTTATTTCAGGCATTTCAAATTTTCCATACAAAGGAGCCCAAATCATGAAAACTATCCCCAGAACAAAACAAAATTAAAGTATGCGGACACAATGCACACTGTATCTGCATATTTTTGTCCATTAGTGTATTTAATGTTTTTCCCGATCTTTAGTTTACTTGTTGAATGTCTCTGTAACCCAAACAGAAACCCATGTACTCTAAGCACACCTTTGTCACACCTGTAGTAACTACAACACCCAGCAGCCCCTGGGTCCACGCAGTATCAGTAGCAGCCTGGAGATGGCGTCTTGCCAGGATGCAGCAGGATGATATGCCTTGGAGTTTGTAATTGCATAGAGGAAGTGACGCACTGTCCAAATAATAAGTACAGTTAGTGCAGTGCTGTAATGATGTCCTCCAACATGACAAAATTGACTGTGAAATACCAAAAATAAACAGCTGGACAGCAGCTGCGCATTCATTAAAAACCTGTATTTTGTATTTATATTGTGCACAGAGCTATCAAACCACAGTTTATAGAGTTACTGCTCAGACACTGAAAGCTAATGAGGCAACAAAGCTTTTATTTATTTTTTTATTAGCTGCATCTGCATTTATTGATGTTCTGTTTGTAAATCCATTATAGTTAGTGAGAGTGTAAAATGCATATATATATCAAGTCAAAATATTCTTTCTACATGATGACCTGAAAACTGATGTTTTATTAAAATGTATTGACATCTGAAAGACAACAGACTCTTCCTCTCTCTGACTATAAGATTATCAATGATACAGTGTTAAAATGGTCCAAAATGATGATGATGAGTGTGGTTCTATTCTTTTGTTCTTAGTCAGACCTATAGATTAGAAGCTTAAATGTCACTCTGGCTTGTCTCACTCAGCTTCAAATATGTTACTTTTTAGATTATAAACAGAATTTAGTCCATTGTAAGATGTTACAACACTCCTGGTCATTAGTTTAGGCTACACAATCAACACACTTATAGGTACCCATCAACACTAGGGCAGAAAAGTAAGAAAAAGTGCTTCAAAAATATCAATTCAAATATAGAATACTATTTAAATGTTAATGCAACACCTATGTATTTTGCTCAAATTGTTTAGATGCTAAAGGTGAGCGAGCTCTGAAGGTCCTGCCAACTCTGTTTCCCCCATCCATCTACAAGAGAGGAGGAGAAGTCTTCAGACCCACCACTGAGGAGTCCCACAGGTCATTTACTGACATGCAACCTGTAAGTTTTGCTTTACTTTTTTTACTTTTTCTATTCAGTAAGGGTGGGCATGTGTGCTGCTGGATATCTATGAAGGTCATTTAGGGCCAGGATGTTTGAAAGCAAAAGAGGAAAAAAGAAACTGAATTTAAAATGAAACCCATAAATGATCAAATTAAACTGTAAATGTAAAACCAAACCTGTAAACGAGAGAACCAAACAATAAATGAGACAAAAAAATGTAAATGATAAAACACAACAGTAACAAAAAGCTAATTTTTAAAAATGTAATGTAAAAATGGGTATTGGGTTAAATGGTAAAACCCAGCACTTGCGTCAAACCAACCCAGTGCGTTTTCTGTCCCATAGTTACCCAGCGGGGAAGTTAAGGTTGGGTTATTTTTTAACCCAGCAGTTTTTTGAGTGTATCCTCTGGGACACATAACTGTCATGGCGATCCATCCAACAGTTTCAGGCTGGACCAAAGTGGAGGATGACCGTCGGTCGGACTGACTAATGTCAAACAAATGTTTTCCAATACTTTACAAAAGAGGGTTGCCTTTTTTATGCTATGTAGTGTTTGGCTCTGTTTCATAGTTAGCTGTGTGCCCATACTGTTTAGATAAAATGCACAAATTAGGCCAGGTTCTATTTTCCCACCACAAAGATGAAAGCTGTCTCTGAAGCAAATGCCCAAGAGAAGCCATAATGAAAACATGTAAATACTCCAAGATTTTTCCTGGCCATTCAAAAGAAAATATTTACTTATTGACTTTGCTGTTGCTGTTTCAGACAGAAATTATTGCCAAGACATTTTGTGACAGAAAGTGCAGACACAAAGATGTGACTGATCATCAGGGTCTTGCCAGGCAACAAGGAGATGTCTAAGACTCTGTAATTAGCTTTAAGCTGTCCTGATGTGAAAGAATCCACCATGAGACTCACGCAAACATGGCTGCCACTGTGCACACCTTCAGTCAGCCAGGAGGAGATCTAATAACCAGTGTTTATATTGTGGTCACCAAATATGAACATGGCAACAGCGGTGTGTCTGTGTTGTTTAGACACAACCAAACAGTAGATAACATCCTCAAATTAAGGTCTTTATGAGTGGAATGATGACAACATTATAGCTCTACAAATCTCTACAATGATCTGGACAACCCCCCCCCTCCCCCGCAGAGCAAGGCCTCCATTATTAAGATCATAAAGGAGATGAGATATATTTACTACTATTTATTACTTAAATTACCTCTGACTACTAAGATCATATTTGGTTCAGCGAGGACAGTCAAGCAACTCTAAATCTTCTACCCTATATCTATTTTATCAGCCCCATTTGCAGCATTCATAGGTATATAAGTAGGATATTAAGTGTTTCCACTGTGTTGGTGACTGCCGTGGGTATAATAATCTTTCTGCCTTGGGCACACTTGAATTTTACATGATAACCAAATGTTGGCATAAAAATAAAAGCATGGAGGTTGAGTTGGACCCAAATACACAGCCATAAACATCATCACCCAAGAGGAAAACCTTGTTAAGTATATAGTATACTAATAACTATGACAAACAATGCTCTGCCATTACTCTTCATACAGTAAAAGCAGGGTCCAAAGACAATCAGGATTTAATAGAAGTCTTTTATAGAGATAGGAAAGGGATATTATTTCCCTACAATGTCTCAACCGCATTTAACAATTTATACACATAATTATAGTGGGCACCAAGGTTGCACTGTCACAATAAAGTATTGCCCAGAAAGAGCCAAGGACTTTTATTGAGCTGATATTAATTGATTTGTCCTAAACTACCCAGACTTGGTCTCCCTGGGCTCTGCTTCTGCTTCCTCAGAGCAGTGGAGCAGTGCCAGAGCTCTGTCCTAACTCTGCATAAAAATAAATGAGAAGCTATGGGGCTAGTCTCTAAAGTCAGAGGATATTGTTCGATTTCACGTCAGCCCTCTAGGAGGCAATTTAAACAACCCAGCATGCTAATCAACCTGGTATAAAAGGAAGTTCTGGAGGGTGGCCCATTTTTCTTTTTTTTTCCCCCTATCCTATTGCAACAAGGCCAAAAAGGAACTAAACAATCCGAGGGGAAAAGTGTAATTTGGCCGGTATCTGAGAGAACATTACACTGTAATGTAATGTAATGTAACTACATGATGTGGAAAAGGAAACAACCATGCAATAAAGGGCATGTCCTGGCCAGTTGTACAATATGGGCTTACTTGTTATTGTTGCAATATCAAGGAAAACCTAAAAAAGAAAGCCCTTCAGCTGTAACAATCATCCCAGAGATGATTATAACAATACTTCTATAAAATGTTCTGGCGTGGAAAAACAAAGCCTTGCTTCACTGGAAGACTCTGAGCCAGGACATGAGCTTCCCTGCTGCCATCAAGACATCAGCAACGTCTCAGTGGAACCACATTGTGACCTTCGTCTGAAATGGCAGAGCCCCAATCTCCACAAATAATTCAATACACTAATATCCCCTCAGTATTTGTTGCGACCACAGAAATGTGATAGTGTTCATTCTCTTCTTGTGCCCTGAACCCACGGGTCAGGTGGTAGCTGATCACAGACTTCCCTGTGACTCAGAGGTTAAACTAATCGTGCATGACTTTCGCTCATGGCCCAACCGGTGCCCTCAGAAATCTACAACAGCTTTTCATCCAGCAACCTGCTTTATATGCATTTACATCGCTGAGCAGTTTGGTTGACGTGACTGCTAGTTTACTGTGGCAGCTGTGTTGCTTCTCACTGAATTCGCCGTAGACTTCCACTGCACTGTGCATGGCCTCAGTTACTGACACAAAATGTGACCAAGTGTCCAATAAGACATGTTTCTTTGAGCTGTGCCAACAATGTCTCTGATCTTTTTCAAGTTATATCCTTGAACCAGTTCTGACCCACATGTACCTATATAACACATTTATACAACTCATCAACACCCTGTCCTCAGCACAGGGCAAGACCACAAGTATGAATGTTTCAGACTTCAGATAAATGTTCTGTAGAAAAGTGATGTAATTCCACACATTTCACCATTATATTTTTCTACTGTATTTGTTAAGCCTGCCTTTTATAGGCAAGGATGTCCTTCAACCGTCTCAGTGTTGAGGTCTTAAAAAGAACTAATTTCTCACATCCCAGCTTGAACATCAGCCTGTGACTAGAGGTAAAGACTGATAAACACTGCCCCCTACTGACACAAAAATATTTTACAGTTACTTCAAAGATCATCTGATTCAGTATTTGTACTTTCTTTCTGTGTTTAAGTTATAGATTTGCAGTCTTAAGCTGTCAAACACAGTGTCAATGTATTACCTTATTTTTCTCTTATTTCATTGCAAATCTATTGAATTTCATGTCAAAAATCATTCCCTCCCTGATACATGGGCTTCTCCTGTTAATAAATTCTGAGTTTTCTGGCTCCATTCAACTTTTAAAAAACTTTTAATAAACATTCTGACAAAATTACTTAAATATTGTTTTTACAATTAAAAGACATGAGAATCCAAAACGGGGCAATGCAATGGTTTCCCAAAACATTGGCAAAAACTACAGCAAGGGAATGGAAACAAAACCTACAACAAAAGTTGTAGTATCATAAATGGAAATCACAAACAAAGCATGACTAAAGAGTGCTGACAAATACACCCTTAGCTCTGAAAAAATGAAACTTTTTTGTGATTGCATGAAGAACAGATATCTGATGATGAATTATTTGCATGCATGGGGATCACCTTTTACATTATGTTACAGCATCATAAAATCCCATATGTCCCATAAGTCCTTTATGAATCCAGAGGGATATTTGATGCTGATCCTTGTCATTGCACATTCAATTTATCTTATTTTCTACATTACAGTCTTCAAGGCCAAAAGTCATAGTATGAGATTAATATGAATAGTCAGTATGACATTCATGAGATTAGTGCTTTTAAATTTACAGTTAAATATATAGCTTCTTCTATCTAAAAACAAAGCAACAGTGGAAACTGTGTTGACCCTGTAAAAATACAAACAATAAAAACACATTACAAGATTAAGATCAAGATTAATACCATTCTCTTAAGGAATTCTCAAGAGACACATACTAACATGTAAAAATGAAAGCACAACTGTTTCTGTACTCTCTGACTCAAACGTCTGGAACTCTGGCAGCCACTTCCTACAAACTGTAATTTCCGTAGTGCCTTTTCAGGTTCACACATCTCTTGTCTTTCTGTGTGTATAAGGGTGACTCTGTTGTTCCTCAGTCAGCTAGCTAGTTAGAATACTGGTATTACTGGTTTGAATGAAACCTTTAAGTTACAGTACGTGACTTATGAAAGAGGAAAAAAGGCAACAAAGATGAATCACCCTTCTGCTTTCAATCTGCTCTGGGCCTCAACCTCAAAACTGTCCTTTTTCACTTAGGAAATTGTCTGTTCTCAAATTCTTCCTGAATGTCAATCTCTCCATTATTGTCCCACAGAAAATATTTGTCTGCCTTTGGACTGCCTTGAAAGTCCTCCATACTCCTAAAACTCCGCCTTTACATATTTGAATTGATTTTATCCATTTGCTATGTTGTATTTGTGTCTTCACTTTCTCTGTCTGCTTCTTTTTCTCTTTTCAGTTTGCCTAGTTGTTTGAAAGCCTATTCAACAGCTTCAGCTTTCCTCTGTCCTTCTTTATCCTCACTCAGGTTCTCGCTGGCTTTTCTTCTTTTGGGCCACATGGGTCCTCATTTTTCTCAACAGTTTTACCCTCACCCGGACCTTTATCTGCCTCTAGTGTGCTGCTGTCTGACAGCCCCTAAGACTCAGCTGTGTCATGCCTGGTTTTGCTTTGTGGTTTTTCGTCTGTATCTGCATGGGCAGTGTTTAGAGACTCTTAAAAAAGTATTGGTTTTAGTGTTGTCTGGTTTTGTTTGTGTGGGGCTCTGAAGCTGCTGAGAGGTGTCTAAAGACCGTACCTATTTCTCCCCTGTCACCTACGTCGTCTTATTCACTTTCATCTTCAGAAACTGTCCATTTCTAGCAGGTTGTGTTTTTCTTGTGTGTTTGAAGTTTGAATCTTTTACAGCCGTTTCTGAACTATTCTGCTCAGAAACGGTGGACAACTGTTTCTCCTCACTGGTCGTCTCATTCATTTCTTTCTTCTGAGCCTGGTGAGTCAGATTCTCGGACATTTTTTTCTGATGTTTCTCCATCAACCGGTTCTGACTTGGCATCTTCCTTGTGTTCACCAGCAGTGTCCTTAGTTCCCATCTCTGGGGGGTTTCGGATCAGAAAAGAACGTGGCCTAGGAGTAGGATGAGAGATGCCATCTGCAGGAGGAGACTTTGCTTCCTCCTTCTCTGATTCTGAAACAGATAGCAAACAAAGAAAAGAACTTAGTACAAACACTGCATCAGTCTGCTAAGCCTTTGCAAAGGAGTTAAATCAAGGCAGTTTTCATTTAAAATTAGTCAGAATCATCCTCGATCGAAGTTTTAGTAATGAGCAAAGCTAAGAAACCATTTCCTATGTAAGCAATGGACTGAATTAAAATGAACAATACAGTGAATCAAACATAGCTTTTCCTACAGCTTTTCACATTTTTAACAATATTAATATGATTATTATAATTACATTTAATTAAATTTTGAACTGTCATAACTAAGAAATGTTGGGGTCTTTCTGGGGTCAATTCTTTCTTCTATGAGGAAGGAAACAGTGAAATCTTTTCTAACTGTCATGATCACTGTAAAGAATAATCAGTCCATAAATGAAACTGCTGCTGTACCCTAAGCACTGTGAATCACATATTTTAAACTAAGCATAAACTTGGGTGTTTCATCCAGTGGCTCTGTACAACCCACACTAACTCTTAAACAGAGGCGTTCCATGGTTCAGTACTGCACAAAATAATTTCAATTTACAGTTTTAGATAGATGCCATTCCCTCCCTTTCATCACACTACAGTGCTGTACAGTGACAAATTGACATGTATGCCCAACATAATTAATTAATAAGCACAACGAATTGACAGGTACATTTTATTTCAGCATCTTATTAGCTTTTCACATCCGAACAAGATGCGAGTCATTCAAATGAGATGAATGTATAAAGTAAATATATAGCAAATATATAACAAATATAGAAACTCAAACGACATACACCCAGATTACAGGATCGATGCTGGACACTGACTGAGAAAGGTCCAAAACTCGATTTTAGCTGGTTGACAGGATTTGGGGTTTGAAGATTGAATCTAACTCAGATAGTGAAGTTTCCAAACCTGGGTGTTCTGGAGCAGTGGATGATTCCACAGCAGACTGTGTGTCCTCACTACAGCCCAACACACCAACTGGGTCTGGTCCAGTTTCTGAAGAATCACACTCTGGGATCTTGTTCTCTGCTGGTCCTCTGAACTGATCTGCTTCTGCGTGTCCTTGGTCATTTTGCGGAGGACTGTTCAGACTCCAACATCTAGATGGTTTTTTAGGCGGAGGAAGTGGAAGAACAGCTTTTTTATCCTTGTCTGTGTTCTCTTCTAAACCTGAAACCCAGAAAAGAGAAATGAAAGAAAAAGAAGGATTTAAGAGATGAAACCCTACAGAAGCAGTCAGAGGAGTTGGGAGTCAGATAGTCCAGTTAGGAGAAATGTTTGATGCTAATATCAAATGGTGGTGAAACAATCACATGATTAATGAACACTAAGTGGATTGTTTTTTAACCGATTTATTTATGATTATGATTTGGCGCGAAACCGGTAACTGTTTAATTTATAATCACATTAATGAAAAAATGATTGCCATAACGCAGTCCCATTGCTTGATTTTCAGCATTGTCTGGTTGACAATCATTGCCTGGTATGTGTTGTATTGCCCAACACTAAACACTGCATATCTAATTCATCATTTCAGGCTCAGAAACTGGTCTGCCCTTTTCTTGCTGATTAGTGTCTGTTGTGTTTAATCTAACTCAGATAGTGAAGTTTCCAAACCTGGGTGTTCAGGAGCAGGTGATGATTCCACATCAGGCTGTGTGTCCTCACTGTCGTCCAACACACCAACTGGTTCTGGTTCATTTGCCTCTCCGGTGTCTGAAGAATCACACTCTGGGATCTTGTTCTCTGCCGGTCCTCTGGACTGATCTGCTTCTGCATCTCCTTTGTGGTTGCCTGGAAGATTGTCCAGATTTCGACGGAAAGATGGTTTTTTAGGCAGAACAGGAGGAACAGCTTTCTTATCCTTGTCTGTGTTCTCCTCTAAACCTGAAACCCAGAAAAAAGAAGTGAAAGAAAAAGAAGCAGTCAGAGGAGTTGGGAGTCAGATAGTTTAGTTGGAATTTCCCTTTAAGATTTTGGAAATGCCCTGCAAAGAGTGAATAGTCACCACCAGCAAAATTCATTTATAGAACCCTTTGTAGTAGGTTATGTATCAGTGGTGATAAACATATTTTTTGTTAGTGTAAACTTGTTGTGCAATCTAATGTCGTAAATCCATGTCATGTTCAGTTAAATAAAAAAAAAGAAAGAATTAAGGAAAGAATGCTTCCTGCTGAAGTCCATAACAGGTTCAATCAGTTATAATTCGTAACACAAACAGAAATTATCTTAATTTCATTCTCTATTCCTTACTGTATACAAAATTCCCTAGAAAGTAAAGTCATGGATATCAATATAGCCTAACTTAAACACTATTAAAAAAATGCCTCAGCGAAAATTTGAAAGCTGACAATGATTTGGCAAACATTAGACTGAGAGGAGGGCAGTTCCCCAGCCAGGAATCTTGAGCAGGAAAAGCGTGGTTACCCTCGGTAATAAGGCGTGTTTTCAGGACTAATACATAAATGAATAGTAATAATAATAGTGATAGGTATTTCAGATACGTAGGGCTTTGAAAGCATTCAGTAAAATCTTAAAAGTCATTTCTAAATCTCAAAAGCTAGTTAATGGCTTCTTATAGATGAGGTTATGTCAAAATATAGCAACCTTTCTGACAACTCAATTGAAAAACCATTTGTAGATAAAATAAGATTGGAATATTTGTTTTTGACCAATTCAGTGAATTACATATTTAACAAATCAAGGTGTTTCATGACATAAATCCAGTATTACTGCTGTAAAACAGAATAGTCTGCAAAGGAAAGTAAATGAACAGGAAAGTGTCTAGTGAAGTTTCCAAACCTGGGTGTTCAGGAGCAGGTGATGATTCCACATCAGGCTGTGTGTCCTCACTGTCGTCCAACACACCAACTGGTTCTGGTTCATTTGCCTCTCCGGTGTCTGAAGAATCACACTCTGGGATCTTGTTCTCTGCCGGTCCTCTGGACTGATCTGCTTCTGCATCTCCTTTGTGGTTGCCTGGAAGATTGTCCTGATCCCGAGTAGTTGGAAGAGGAACCAGAGCTCTCTTAACCTGGTCTGTGTTCTTCTCTAAACCTCAAACCCAGAAAAAATGAAAGTAAATGATGCTAATATCAAGCAGTGCTGAAACAATAACATGATTAGGCTATTGATTGATTGACGGAAAAATTAATCAACACTAATTTTATTATTAATTATTAATAAACATTTTGAGTCAGTTGACTCTAGATCAAACAAAAGAAACAATCTTAAGATGTCAACTTGGGTTTTGAATTTCACCATTTTTATGACAATAACATGATTAATCATTTAACTGATTGACAGAAAATTAATCAACACTATCTTTAATTATTACTTTGAGTCACTTAATTCTTGGTCAAACAAAACAAACCTTCACCACCTTTTTGCTCAAATCTATTTATATGATTCTGGACGTGCCCTGGAAAGAGTGAACAGTCAAAAACAGCAACATTCATTTGAAGCACCCTTTGTAATATGTATCAATGATGACAAATGTTTAGTTTGTGTACCTTTTTGGATATCCATGCCATGTTCTGTAAAATAAAAAAAAGAAAAATCAATCAATCAGTTATAATTTGTGACGCACACTGAATTTATCTCAGTTTCATCCGTCTATTTTCTGTTTACAAAATACCCACAAAAATAAAAATATAGATAGATAGATAGATAGATAGATAGATAGATAGATACTTTATTTATCCCCTCATGACATATAAGCACAATGCACATGGATATGTATGTAGTTTAAATCCAAAATGAGGAGGTAAAAGAAAAAAAATCTAAATATTTGTGGATTTTTTATGAAATTATTTCAGCACAAATGTTGTTTTTAAACTCCCAAGCGCGGACAGTTGACACTCGGAGAGAAAATAACACAATGTATAATGTTGTTTCACCATTATTAGAAAAACTGTTAGAAAAAACTATCAATTTCCCTCAAACTGAGGTTTTACTGCTGTTTTAACACATTTCTTAGCAACGGTAAAAAAGTTGTGATAAACCTGCTTACAGTTTACATGAAATACCCCAAAACAGTGTATTAGTCTGCGTTACCTTTTCCTTCTTCCATGTCTTCTTTGTGATTGAAAACATGGGCATCAGGCTTAATGTTCCCATCACTTTGGTTCTGATGGTGAAGTCTCTGTGAAGAGCGGCGTGTGGATTCTCTCATTAGAGGTACACGTGTGTCATTCTGAGCTGTCTCCATATCTGACTCTGAAACAGATTAAAATACAAGCTGTAATGCAGCTCACTTATAAGAGAGAAAGATAAAAGAGATATTAGACAATATGACCATCATCAATAAGAAAATACAAGTGATGAACTTCTGCACTTATTTGACTGAAAATATGTGCCTCATCATATCTGTCTAATGATATACTATCACTGTGTGTGTTTTAATTATTTTATTCATCTGGACCCGATGCAAATTATTACAATTTTCACAACTTGGTCTATTATTATTTATTTGCTCCTTTTAAAGGATTGTGCAGCTTTGGAGGTATGTGATCACTTAGTGCTTTCTACCTCTTATCTGCAACACACCCTTTAGATAATGGGCAGTCAACAGTCCTTTATCTTTACCATGAGTAATGAACATTTGTTTTAACTGCTTGATCCGAAATGATTGATCAATTTATAGGATTAGTCTTATGATGAAAATTTAATTCACCACAATTTGATTATTGATTAATCATTTTGTTTAAGACATTTATAAAAAGAAACTTCTGATTGTCTGACATTTTGTAAACCTAACAATTCATTGTAAGAATTATTGTCAGATTAATTAGACTGACCACTGAAAATATAAAATATCATACCTCCTCTTGTACCAGGTTTGAAAGAATCCTTGTTTCTCTCTGCAAAACATGCTGGACAGAAGAGGAAACACAAACAGTAAGTTCTTGTTGTATTCATCGTGAAGATCAGAATCAGTAATAGCAGTGGCCTGTGTTCAGTACTATTGCAAATAAATAGCTTTCAGTGCATACTGTTGGTAGATCTGGATGAACTTTTGATCTCTAAATAACAAAGAATAATGCCCCATATAAAACTCATTATTACATTTAGTCAACTGTTACACACAGCTTTGGGAATAGATGAGTAAGTATACATACAGTATACATATGCTCAGTGTATCTGCTAGTGCTCCTCAATTGCTGAAAAATAAATAATTCAGGGTATCTGGCTAAGGAGTAATTTGTTTAACTGTACCTTTACGAGTTAGTTTGCAGAATATTACGCCACAAAGGAGAAGCACAAGGAAGGCGCAGGATAAGCCAACAGGGAGTGCTACGGATGAACTCTCCTCTGCACAGAAAGACAAAGGTTACTGCAACTTCTTATTACATTACATTCATTACTAAAACAATATTCATATAGTGCTATAACTCTGAACATTTCAGTCTACATTTTTGAACATTTCAGTCTGCAATCTGTCTCGATACTATACAACCAAAGGATAACATTTTGTGAATCGCTGTGAAAGTTTTTGTTTTTTTAAGTGATCTAATATACTAATTCCATTATCATCATTATTCATTATAGACACATGATTTATGTTTCTTTTTTTTTTTTTTAATTTTTTATCAGCACTGGAATGAAGGCTCAGCTGAGTTTTAAAGTCTCTGCTTCACATTCAGTGCTGTCGTCAGTGCTGCAATGCAGTTATTCTTTCTTAATGAAACTGAGGATGTTTGGTGGGTAAATTTTAATAATATCCATGTAAATTAGTTTCTGAGCGTTGACAAATTCCACAACTTATATTTTAAGTATACAGTAGAGTTGATATTTAAGTAATAGCTCACCGGCGTAGCAATCCTTTGCTCTGAATGTAGTGGTTTCATTAGTCAGAGGGTTTCTCACTGTACAAGTGTACATTTTATCATCATGTTCATCCCCCAGAGATATTGTTAACTTTGGGCCAGGCTGCATGATCATTCCTTGCGAGTCCCACTCATAGCTCATTAAGGACTGAGGACCTGCAGAGCACGTCAGCGTTGCCTGGGCTCCGTTTGTATTGGGGCTGCCATTATTCATGTCACAGGACACAGTGGGTTTGGAAACCTTGCCTACATGAATATATGAATGAAAATAAATACATGAATGCAAACCTAAAAGAGTGATTCCCTTATGTTACATGGATTTATACAATAACAACATTACATTCCTGCATCAACAAAACAAATTATAACAGAATTAAATTAATAAAATAACTTAACTGGCAGTGATTATTGAAAATCACTAATTCTGCCCCCATCTTAATAATTAATAATATTATAATAATATGTAAATATTGATAAGTTTAGGTAACTATAACTACTTTGTTTAAGGTTATGAAAACCTCATGGTCATGACAAATTATTGTTAAAGGATGTTTAAGGCATGACTAAAACACTTTTAGTGAAATAATCCTGCCGTGGTTAAAGGAAACAGACACTGACTGCTACATGACATCAATATCAAAACCCTGACTTTATACTACAATATAAGACATTGTGCAATTCCTTCTTGGCACTAAATACAATGTCATATTACGGCCATCCTAAACAGCAAAGCAAGTACACTAACAATAAAATTCCCTTTTAATAGGTTATATATTAAGAGATAATACTGGCTTTGATATGTGATATCTTGATTTACTTTGGGTGTGGACAGTGATGGAAGAAGTACACTGCTTTTTTTATACATCAATGTAGAAATACTCCATTAAAATTAAAAGGCTTGAATTCAAAATCCTTCCAAAGTAAAAAAAGTATTGACAGCAAAATGTGCAAAAATAAAAGTGACTCTGTGACTGATGTAATGTATAACATTATTAGATTGTTAATCTAATAACATGCATCATTATGCATGTAGCATTTTATTGTTGGTCAAGAGCAAGTTTGAATTAGTTTATATACTGCATACTTAGGTAGTTTAGGCCAATGTGTGAATGGTCTGTGGGGCTTCCACACTGACCCCTAGGACAAGCTGCAAATCTTACCGAATGGAGGTTACATGGAAGGAATGTATTAGTGGATTTGAACACAGAAAGCCTTGAACCTACAAAATACACCTCCGTGAATGTTGCAATCATTACTGTGCTGCACAGTAATAATATTCTTAATTGCCAATTTCATGTGAAAATGCAATTCAGAAGCTCTAAGCTTAATTTGAAAAAGCTCCAAAAATCCCCAATAAACCCTTCACCATGATGAAATTTGCAGCTTGAAACACAAAACCCTGCCAAAATGTACATTGCCTTTACTGTAAAAATATCTGTCCCTACTGAACCCTTTTCATGTCTTACAGACTGATATTAACATTACTTTTTTTCTTTGAGGTTGGCTCATACAAATGTTCCAAGCTGGATTGGACGAACTTCCTTCACTGCACAAATTTGTCATAACTCGCTAGTTTCAGCCTGGTAAATGCCATGTGTTGCCAGAGAAATGCCACAGAAAAATATAGCCTACAGTAGGTGACATTACACTGTTGGGTGCAACAGATGATGATACTGCAGAGAGACCAAATACAAGAAAAGTGGTAAAAGCCACATATTCTCTTAGAGTGGTTGTACATGCATCTTAAGAACAAATCTGTTCGTATGGGTAGTTCTTGCATGAGGCCCATTGTATTGATAGCAATGACTTTAATTGAAGGTTTTACTAAACTGCTATAGCAACACATCAACTTCCAGCTGTAGAATGCGAGTACCGATGTTTAGAAGACTGATCAACAGTATATAGCCACTTAACTGAAAAAGTCAGTAAAAAACTTACCTATGACCTCCAATTTATAGTGGATTTTTTTTAACTCTTTATTTATGAATATTTCCAGTTCATAGTCTCCGCTATCGTCATATCTGACATCTGTCAAATATAGTTCTGCAGATATCCAGTCAAGAGTGACCCTGTTTTGAAATTGGCTGTACACCTCTTCCTCCATGCCATCAAACTCTACCACTTTGTTGCCATTATGTTTCCACAGAATATTATCAGGTTGTCCAGTGACGTGTGGCTTCAGGTGGATGGTCTCCCCTTGGAGGTGATATGTTAGCGGCTGTCCAGAAACTAGACAAAGAAAATGCAGAAGTGTGGAGACATGTAGGATAATGTGTGAAAGAGGTTTGTGTAGTTTAAACATTGCGGGATATGACAACAGTACAAGCAAAAACCAAGTTGCAAATTTATTAGATTCACATGCACAATTTAATATGATTTTATACTGCATTATCGTGTTCCTAATATTTTTTATGTAATATTACAAACTTTCAATGTAAGTGTGAAGATTCAGTCTTGTCCTTGAAATATATAGTTTAAAATAATAATCTCAACTCATGGTCCACTTACAAGCTTTTCTGGAGCTTTCAACTGCATTTCACAGTGTTCAACAGCTGATAGAGTTTGTTCAGTTGTCATGGAGATGGTTCAGCTGTTATCACGTGACCCATGTATGAAACTTTGTTCACATGATAACAGGTGGGCATACTTGAACAGACTGCAGCAACCACTAGTAGATTAATAAATTATTCACGTGACAGAAAATGAATCTGCAACTGTTTTGACAGTCAAATAATCATTGAAGTAATTTTTCAAGAAAAAAAAGCAAAACATTCATTAGTTCAAGGCTCTCAAATGGGAGAATTTCTTCTTGGTCTTACATTTCTGTAAATGTTATATTTCAGGGTTGGTAGGATAAAATAAGATATTGGATGGCATCTTCTCAGACTCCAGGATGTTGCTCGTTTTTCTTTCTTTTTTCACCATTTTCTGACATTTAATTGATTCATTGATAAATCAGGAAAATAATCAACAGAATAATCTGTAATAAAGATAATTTTTAGTTGCTGCCCCATTCAAGACCACCTCATTACATAACTATCACATAAATGGGTAACATGATGACAACTGAGCAAACTCCACACTGATGAAGACCATGTGAAGCAGTTGAAAGCTGGGATTCTTATTGTATTATTTGATTGTTTATGTGTTACTACAGGCCTAAAGTCAAATTTCCATACATGACATAAAGTTCAAGTGTATTTCTTGGTATTCCCTTAGTATCGGAAGTACAAACATACATGACCATATTAGTTTTAACAGACCAACACCAAAGGTGTTCTAAAACATTTGCTCAACCCTTATGACTGTGTAACACAGACGCAAAGTTTTTACCTGCTGTGAGGAAATATGAACTGTTCAACTGTCTCAACTTTAGATAAATCATTAACCTGAGAGGCTGCTAGCCCTCTGCACTGCAGTTTGCATGTACACACAAAAGTGCCAAGATACAAAAAAAAAATGAACCCACCACAATTACAATCAACTCACCTAAGCAGGAGGTTAAGATACAACAGGCCAAGAAGTAAGAGCGAGCCATTTCAGGAAAGCAGGAAAATCACTGGCTTTACTTTCACTTTTGATAAAAAAAAGTTTAAGTCTCGTCCTTCCCGAAATACACAGTCGGAAAGGTCATTATGTTAGTGTCAGTCGAAAGTTTTGACATGCTAAAAAAAATAATTCTTTACAGAAACTGCGCAGTTGGACAACTTTCTTTAGGCAAAGTAATTTCCTTCATGCAGGTGTAGACAAACACCTGAATGTCCGGTCTTTGTGAGTTATGGACCTTCACAATAAACTCTAAACATATGACCATTGTTTCTACTCCTCAACATAACAGTAGTAGCAATTACCTTGGAAGTTTGTAAATAAACAAATCATGTCCGTTTTTGGAAAAACGTCAACACGTTTTCCAAAAACGCTTTGTTTTAAAAAAAATATATTTTAGTTTGAAATTACCGGAAGCTCTATTATTTCCTGTGACTGTTGACCTGGCTGGAGAAATTGAGCAGCTCTTTTACGGTATTGAGGGGTGTGTCCATATGGGTGTCGCCCGTCGACGTGTAGGCTACCTGTAAGTTAATGATTATGTCTATCTGTAAAACCAGTAGCCTATTTTCAGTGATTTTTCAGGGGTTTGTCATGTATTAATTTTTTTTTTATCCATATCAAATTAGGTTTAAACAATTGCTTCTGTAATATATTACACTGGATGAATGATTGTGACATTGAAACAGGTCTGATATTATGGTTTTGTTTGGTGGTGAGTTAGAAGAAAGGCAATGCCTCCCTGGCTTTATAAGAAAACACTGAAAGACTGCATGATTTACCTGATGTTTCTGTATTTATTTGTGCAGCATTTTTGGACTAATTTCATTTCATTTCTTTTGAAACTTTATTTTTTATTTATTTATTAATTAATTTGTATTATTGCACCTTAATTGCTTGGTTGTGATATTGTACTAATTTATTGTACTAGTTTATTTCTCTAAAACAGAATGGAAAGAACCAACAACATATCTCTTTTTTTTTAATAAAGGACAGAAACATTGTATAAAAATAAAGTTTTGTAAAAAGGTTTGCAATCCTTACTTTAGTCAAAACATAATGATTTCCAATAAGGGAAAGTGGCACATTAAATTAGCATTGTAATGCATATTAAAACATTTTGCTCCTTTTTAAACACATTTTATTTTACTTTTTAGGCATCCTCTCACTCCCACTCTCGTCAACAATAAAGTCCTGTGACCAAGGTCTGTGTCATTGGCACTCTGAAGCAGGTGCTATTCTGTGTATGTGTGTGTAGGACTTCATGAGTGTCACACTGCCATGATGTGACACTCCCATAGGTAAAACACACTCCTCTGTGAGCACCCCTCGGGCAACGTCCCAGCACATCACTGTGGAGATAACTTGGTTTTTGTTATCCCGACCTCCGGTGATGAAGAGTTTGTTGTTACAGGCAGCGATGGCGCAGCTTGCCCTTTCCCCAAGACGAGTCACAAGGGACCACGAGTCAGACAGAGGGGAGTAGCAGTACATGGCATGCATGGCACCACCTGGGAGCAGACAGAATAAGGTTAGAAAATATATACATATATGAGCAGATCCACTTTTAATGCAAGAATCTCTTTTCATTTATAGAGGATTATTGAAACCAAACACAGACATTTGAGTTCTTTCTCTTGTATGTTTATGCTTTTATGTCAAAGCACTTTGTAAACCCTTGTTTTTAAAGGTGCTATATAAATAAAGGAATTATTATTATTATTATTATTATTACAAGTGGTGGAGGAAGTAAAAGTAGTAATACTGCAATATGTCAATGCAAATGTCACTTAAGTAAACGTATGAAAGTTTTTTGGCAAAATGTATTTAAAATCTTTAAAAAAGTGAGAGCACCCGCAATGCAGAAAAATCCCACCTGTGACTGTGACTATTGAATTATTATTAGAGAAGAACTAATGTGTAAGTTGGTCAAGCTAATTTAAACTATTTTATATACAGCTGCATAGTTTAAATTCTGTCCACAAGTTTTCAAATTTATGCAGTGGCATAGAAGTATAAAGCAGTATGCGCTGGAAAATTTCACCTAAAATATAAATACCTCAAATCTGTGCTTAGTAACATTCCAGCACAACTTACCAACTACATAGATGCAGTTCTTGAATGTAACAGCATTTGTGCATTTGGTCTCAATGGGAATTGGCGCCCGTAGTTCCCAGCAGTCTGTCCCAGGTTCCCAGCACTGAACCTTATCAGTTGCCAGCTTTCCATTCGGCCCACCACCAATCACATAGATCCATCTGTCAAAGCTTGCAGCAGCGAAGGAGCTCACACCTACTCCAAGAGGTGTCACCTGCAATAAGTAGAGCCAAACGGGCTTCTGAATAAGAATATGTGAGGAAGTATAGCCTATCAGACAGAGAATGTGTATTGTTTAAAAGCAGTATTATTTGTGGAGCATCAGATGTACAGTATTTAACACCTTATGTACACAATAATAGTAAAACAAAAATGAATGAGGGTATGGAGTTTTGAGAGAGACTGGAATTTTGTGTGAGAGGTAGATGCCCATATAATATCTACAGCTGCCTGCTGTCGTAGTGAGAGTGAACCAAATGGGTTATCTCTGGTACAGGTGGCTTAGAGCTTTTAGCCAAAAATAGCTGTCTTCTGCGTCTGGTGGTGCGAATCATATCAGTATAGTTGCAGGGCATAAAACTAAAATAACACATTGAAAGGTGCTAAAACAGTAGAACTCAGAGAAACTTCAGAAATGGGGTAGTTCTTTCAAGCAACAGTTTTCACATACTTGTAGTCATTGCTAACAAAGAAAAGTAAAGTTACACTAAAGCAGCATTATTATGTCAACTGTTTTTCACCTGTGTCCAGCGATTGTGAAAGGGATCATAGGCCTCTACGCTAGCAAGTCTCTGAACTCCATCGAATCCACCCAGTGCATACACCTTCCCCTCGTGGACCGCCATCTTGTGTCTCCAGCGGCCTGTTGTCAGGGGCTCGATTTGGATCCACTTGTCCAGGGCGCCATTGTATTTCCAAACATCATGTTGTGTCTCCTTACCTCCTGCAACAACAGAAGCATTACAGAAAACTGTCACTTACAGTACACACTATAGCCTCTATCCCTACATCAATGTATCACTGAATCTTTAGTAATGACTGTATTATTGTTCGACATTGAGACACAGAGTTATTAGTCTGATTAAAGATGTAAAATCCAATGACTGAGTCTGAACTCTCATAGTATACATGTTGCTGAACAGTTAGCAACAAGTAACCACAGACACAGTGTCATTTCCTGAGTTGGGAAACACCTAAAACCACAACAACTGTTACTGCAGATGAGAACGTGTCTTCCTGTTGTTTTGCTCAGCTGTTCATTACATTAGATTAGCTTTTCATTTAATTGTTAAAACAACATTACATTTGAATAAGAGAGGCCTAGAAACATTTACAGCAACCTGTTTACATGATGGAAATGCAAGAAAAATTAATACATGACAAGAGGACATGGAAACTTTAACTTTTCAGATGCATTATCTGCTGACTGAACAATTTCACTTTCATCAGTAGAGATTGACACATTTTACAGGAACTAAGGCTTTCTATGAAAATAGAATGTGAATATGTTACTTTTCTCACCAGATATGTACAATTCATTGCGGAAGGTGATGCAAGCAAACTCAACCCATTTTCTGTTTTGGGACTCATCCTCCATCTCTGTCATTGGCAGCCTGGCAACCTCTAATCTGCTGCGTCTAAGGGGGTCCAAACAGGTAACCGTGGAAATGAAGCGTTCTTCTTTAGTGCAGCCTCCGATGATCAAGAATACCTCTGAGAGAAAGTGCCGCAAACGGGGCTTGGTTCGTTCAGAGACCACCTACAAACATGTACAAAGCACATTAAACATAAAACATTTAAATGCAGCAGATCATTTTATCAGAGAATGAGTTGGCATGAAAAAGGTGATTGCTCTTTTTGCAGTAAATATGGAACATATTTAAGGATAGCAGGTAGCTTTTGCCTCTGGCAAAGTGATACACCTTTAGACCATTAATACCTCAGTGTTTCGGCCTCAGGGTTTCAGATATATTGAATAAAAAATTTAAAATAGCCTACCAATATTTTGTGAAATAAATCATGTCACACAAGAAACATATTTTTGGCTTCGCCTATATACTAACCTCCCTGCCAGAGAGGTGATAAGCGCGGGTCTCTTGCAACAAAGGAAAAGCTTCACTGCAGTGGCGTATCAGTTCATCCGACTCCACTTTTTCTACGAAGTATGCTGGCTCCAGCAGTGGCAGTCGCACATGCGAGAGCAACCTGGCCAGTAAAGGATAGCGTTGTTCCTGCTGGGCTTTCACCCAGCGCATGAGTGCCTGAAAAACACACTCCTCAAACTTCACATCAAGGTCGTCTCTTTGCAGGATGGTCTCCAGTGACTCTGCCGGCAGCTCCAGGAAGTCCTGCTGCTGGACCACCTGGGAGAATTGAGAGGTGATGTAGTCCTGAACCCTGGTTGTCAGGTCTGACAGGGCGTGGCTTTCAGCCAGATTCAGGACCCCGATACAGTTCTCCAGGTGCAGGGACTTGCTCAGAAAGCCAGCACATGCATCCGCGACACGCAGGAACTAAGAGAAACAAGGTGAGCATAGGAATCACTTACTTTTCAGCTGAAAATTGAGTAAGCTCTCTGATGTACACATACAGGGTTTCTCAATATTGGGGTCAGGACCTCGTGGTGAATGATACAACTATTTCAGATTTCTAAGATTTATGAGCTGTATGAGGATTTGACAAGAAAATTGTCTTGGAAACCCAAAAAGATAAAAAATAATTAAAAGCCTTGCCTTAACAACAGCCACCTTTACGTGTGTTTCCTCAAACTGTATCCTAAACCTTAATCTGTTTCTAATTCTAACCTCAGTCCAAAACCGACTCCCAACAGCCTGATGAAGAAGTGAGGACCAATCAGAATGCTTGAACTTTTTTTTTTTTTTTTTTTTTTTTTAGTCCTCAAATGACATTTTAAAACTCAAACCGCATGTCACAAAAATAGAGGTATGGGAACACCTGTCTCATTTGTTGTGTTGCACAGCTGTGTAGTTAATTTAAGCCTGTATGGAAAACTGATCCTGAGTGTAAACAACTGGGCAACTTTCACTTCCCTCTTAGTGTGATACATCTCATACGCAGTGAGATGTTTGTTCCACTGAATGGGGGTTATACTGTCTGAAGTGAGACGATCATGAGACTTGCAAGATGCTAAATGTGGTTCTACACCACAGCAGCCCCATGCTGCGAAAAGTTACCATCAAAATAGAAAGATAGATGTTCTGAGGGAAAGTGTTTTCTTACATTCTTCATGACTCTAATTTTGGTAATCTTAGTTTAGTTAGTTTTTTACCTCTAGTGAAAAATCACATGATCACACCTACACAGAATGAGAAAATGTTACAAATCTTAAAATAAATAAAACCCTGTTGAATGGATCAAGCTAAAAAAAAACTTTACTGGTGGATTTATGTTTTGAGGGTGTTTTAGGATTAAATGACTTTTTATGGTTTAGGATTAAGTATTTGAAGTTAGTGTCTTTATGTATAATACATGGTAACATCATAACAAAAGTCCAGTGCTTTGGTAATTACAGTCCACATTATTAATAATTATTATTTAAAACACTTTCTCTTTACTGGAAATGAAATTGTAATGCTTAAAATTTGTGATTGCTACTAATAATATGCTCAAGATTTACAATGAACTGTGTGTGTGTCAGAGGATGTTTGTGCTATGTAAACGAACAAAGTATGTTATATTTAAATGTTTAAATGTATATTGTTATTTTACCTGAAATTGACTGGCAGCCTCAAGTATTCTCTGGACATTTGAGTGTGTGAGGAGGGCTCGGCTGGTGTAGGTATACTCCAGGAGAGAGGCCATTGTCCCACTGTCCAACCCCTTTATTTGCACGCACTCCTCATGAGTCTCCTTCAGACCACTGCAAAACATTGCCCTACACACAAAATGTTCATTTATTAAAACCGACAATGCCATCACCATACAAAAAAGAAACAATGCTTGTTTATTTTTTTACCTGAAGTACTGACTGGCAGCAGCAAGTATGGCTCTATGGCAGGGAAAGTCATGCCCTTGAACACTCAGTATCACATCGGTCAGTTCTCTGTTCACTCGTAGAGTCTCCATCCCTCTCTGCAGCTCAACAGGTAGACCTCCATCTTCCCAGCGTATCTCACTTGTTCCTGTCGGGCTCTCTCTCTCCTCATTGGGGCTGGAGTCATCTCCAAGAAACGGCAAGGGACAGTCTGTAGTCCTCTCCAGTGAGTCACTCATCTTTTACACCACAAGTTCTTCAGAAACTCGCTCTCCTCGGAGGAACAGCATGCAACTTCTGTAGGTGCACCTGCATGGGTATGAAGACAGAAAATAACCCCGTGTGGTTTGTGCTTGCAACATTTGTGTCGCACCGAGACGTGGATTTGTTTTTTCCTGTCCCCTTCATACTTCATACTTCCTATTCCTGTTCTGTGAGGAGCATACGTATGTAGCAATGCTTGTTTCTAGACACTTCCTCTTCTTGTGTTGAGTAAATTTCCCCTAAGTTACCTAGTTTTCCTCTTCTTTTTTTTCCAGGATCCCCACAGGTGTCAAGTTTCCACCACACGACCTCATCAAAAAGCACCAAATAACAATAAGCATCTAAACGTGTTATATCTAAAAATACATTTTTATATACTATGTGTTCCTGTGCTCCTATGAATTGCTATAAACAAGATCTCACTTCTTGTTTAACTGTCGTACATCACTCCATCATTCTGGCACCTCACTGGGACAGAACTGACTGTAATCATGAGAAGCAGCTTGTGACCAGAAGGCTGCTGGCAGGATGAATGTGGGTGGGAAAGTGTAAGAGCAGCTTTTGCCCCTCCCTCATTTTCACCACTGAGGTGCTTATGCCTAGTTACCATAGTAACTATCTAACAATGTATATTACATTGCTTTATTTATTTGCTTTACATATATTTCATATATTGTACTAATTCTGTATAATGTGTGAATATATGCTGTTTTTACTATGCATACTTACATCTTTAAGCCCATACTTATATCATAATTTACACATCATTCCAGAGTTGCACTACTTCACTGTTTCATTCATATAGTAGTAATAGATTATCTGGTTTTCTTACCTCTCAGTCTGTCTCTGTGCACTTGTAATCAGAATTTCCCTCAAGGATCAATCAACTTATCTTATCTTATCTTATCTTATCTTATCTTATCTTATCTTATCTTATCTTATCTTATCTTATCTTATCCTATCCACTGGAGCTCAGCTGCTAAATGGGCAGAATCTACCTTATTACTTTACTGGGAAGGTGTGAATGTGTCTAATTGTCCTACACCTCAGAAATGTTGGTTATCATCATAAGGAACAGAAAAGAAAAATCCCCTAGCTTTTGCTCAGTCAGAGCGAAAGCTATAGGCTGAAAGCCGAGAAGTAAAAGTAAAAAACACAGCTGCAGCAGACGTGTGTGTCCCTGTCTGCTCCACCAGGTGGCACTGTTGTCTGATTGATCTGCGACACATTTCAAGACGATATCAACGAATCCAGACTTACTTCAGTGTTTTGGCGAAATGGGTCAAACTTGGACCCAGGCTGTGTCCTAGCAACACAATTCAACTGCACACCCTTTAACTAAATACTCTCTACTGTATGATCGGATCACGGTAGGCCTATGTCGTAAAATCAAGTAAAACAGAAGTTACACATGTTTTATGCTCAATTACAATGAGAGAGGAATTAGTTAATGTAGTTGGTTCCAAATGCAAAAAGCGGGTCGATTTCCGAAGATGCCCATAGTCACCTGCCTGCAGCAGAGACAGCACTGAGCACCACATTGTTTCACGTCACATTATTTCAGGTAAAGTCGAGAGAACCACCACCTTTCTCAGTTTGTCATTGGTGTGATATTTGTGTGTAGTTGATTATGATGTGTTGTAAATCACATCGAGTACGTTGACCATAAGTGCAACAATTTTTTATTTTTTATTTTTTAAACACAAAGCTCCACCACAAGCCACCTGCACCTGCACCTGCGCATTTGATATAGATGTATACGCTCACCAAAAATAGAGGCTACCAATACATTTACAAGTAAAATATGTTGCTAGAGCATGTACTGTTGGCAGGAAATATTTCAGACTTCCTCTTGGTGTACTTACAGGAAACGTTACCCACTTTACTAAACACAGACTGAATTGCAGACAGGGAGACCGACTGGGGGCTGCTATGGTGTGAACAGTGTTGACTCTGAAGCAGGTTCAGGATGAGGTGTTCCCTGCGCTCGCTTTGGATGGCCAGTTTTCTTTTCTATCTACTTCCACACTGTGGTAAGTAGTTCACTGAATTCCTACAGCAAAATTCCTGCGGCAAAATATAGGTGATGCTTTATAGGTTATGCAAGTCCATTTTGCAGTATGGATGTAATAAGTAGAGCCAAGAACCTTGGTGTTGTTGAGTGTAACATATTTAAGCATCTGTCGTTACTCCAGGTCCGTCATGAATATACATACCATTCATAAATAAAAAGAAATGATAATAGCCACTAATACATGTGTATATTAAGCTACACTATAAATGTGTCTGATATGTAAAATTCCCATGTGCTTCTGGCAACTCATTGTTATGATTTCATAAAATTGCATTTAGCAAAGACTTATGTGATTAAACTCAGACTGTTGATTCACCTATGTTATTCTCTTTGCCTTTTTTTAATAACATTTTTATTGATGTAGACAAACAAATTACTTGCAAATGATTTTCATGAAATCGAAAAAGCTGCAATAATTGCTTGCTTTCTATTGGGGGAAAATTAATTCCCCTGCCGCGGAACAGACCTTTTCCACTATTTGCAGGCAGTTGTTCCCATGGATACTTATAATGAATACATACTCCATAATATATGCCGTAAAAGATTTACATTTCTTGTAATGTGCAGTACAACTCACATGCTATGTAGTTATCTTTCACATATCCATGCAATACTGAGACAAAGGTTGAAGTGTAGCACCCTTATAAAACATGACTAACATTTAAAGTTGCAATATTCAACTGACCTCAACATCTGTGTTTTGTCTGTGTGTCAATCAGGAGAAGCTAAAGTGCACACTGAAGCACAGGCTGGGCCTCTGTATCGTGTGTTGGGCTCTCTGCTCTCCATCTCCTGCAATGTGAGCGGCTTCTCCAATAAGTTCGCTCAACAAAATTTTGAATTCCGTATTAAGAAGCCTGAAAATCCAGCATTCGAGATCAACATCATCAGCACCGGCGACCAAAACTTTGCGTATGCCATGTATACACAGCGTGTGATGAGCAGGGAGATAACTCTGAAGCATTTGTCTCCAAACTCAGTCCTCTTTGAGATACAAAGGCTACAGAAAAGTGATGAGGGGGAATATGAATGTTCTGTAATCAACTCAGAATCTGTTTACCAGGGAACCTACAGTGCTAAGACAACAGTCAAAGGTAATCAGTCACCATTCTACTTATCAGTTTTAAGAGCTATGTTTCAATGTAACTGCATCGCTGTATTGTAAGATGGTAAAAATGTAAATGACTTTCATGTTTTTGTCTCTGTTGCTGCCATAGTGATTGACAACTCCCTAAGTGTTTCATCATCTGACCCCACATCATTGCGCTACAATGAGGGTGATGCTCTCACTTTAACATGCCAAGCCTCCAGCAACACCATCCAGCACACCCATCTGTCTTTTGCCTGGTTACTCCATAAAGACGGTGAGGACAACGCTCAGCCTATCATTTCTCTGGACAGAGATTTCACTCTGAGCCCGGGCCAGGGGTTTGAAGGGCGTCACCAAGCTGGACTCATCAGGTTAGATAAAATGGGAGAAGCCACGTACAGGCTACAGATGGCTCAGCTGGAGCTGTCAGACCAAGGTAGGATCTACTGCCATGCTCAGGAGTGGATCCAAGATCCTGACCGCTCCTGGTACTCTATCGCACAGAAGGATGCACAGAAGACTACGCTGAATGTCAAGGCCAGAGGTTAGAAGCAGCTATCATTTAATTGGTATAATCTATTAATAGCAAAACTTGACACATTCATCTTTGCTTTTCCTGTTCACAGTCATTGTGACTTCTTGACAGCATGTGTGTGCCTGTGTGCTGTGTTTGTCTCACTGTGGCTATTTTTTGCCTTGAATAGAGGTGGCGCCAGACACGTCGTCTTTGGTGGTGAGAATCTCGACGCAGCAGACAACGCTGCAGGAGGGGCAGGAGCTGTCGCTGTCCTGCAACATAGACACACAAAATCTGGAGAAAAGGTTCTTCTCTGTGGCCTGGCTCCGGGGGAGCGTTGAGCTGGCCCGCATCGGCCCCACGGGTGTTCTGTCTGTGGGGTCCGAGTACAGTGGGCGAGAGAAACAAGGAGAGCTCAGGGCTGCCCGGATGGGTGACAGAGATTACCATCTCATAATGCAGCCAGTCAGAACTGAGGACGAGGGAGAATATTTCTGTAGGGCTTGGCCTCAGGACAGAGGCCAGGATGGTGCCTTTACACAGGGAGCAGCCCAGGATTCCAGCCACCAGCCAATCAGCATCTCAGCCAATGGTCAGTCAGCAGATAAAGCCATACTGACTGAGATAAACATGCACAGGCATTCATTTAGGGTTTAATTTCCTTTCCTGTATGATTTACCCTCAAGTTTAAGGTGGTTATTTATGATAATATTAATATTAATGTTATCTTCTCAAACGCAGTTGTGCCATCTTTCTGTTGCCTTGTCTCATCACAGGAAGTCGGCTGTCAGTCGAAATGCAACGCAATGTGAGTGTCAACGAAGGCGACAGGCTGAGGCTCACCTGTAAAGTGGATGGGATTAAAGGTCAGCTCTCCGTTACCTGGCAACACAAATCGACATCCACATCTACAGCCTCGTTTACCAATGTCGTCAGTCTGAGTCAGGAGGGTGTTGTGGAGATAGGGAGGAAGTTCGTGAGTCGCAAAGTAAGAGCAACGCGACCAGCTACTGACTCTTTCACTCTGGAGCTTGATGAGGTCACACCCTCCGATTCAGGCGTCTACCAGTGCGCTGTGTCCGAATGGAACACCAACAGCAAGACCAACAGCCAGTCACAGACCACCAGTGTAACGGTGGCTCCTACAGGTAAGATATGTCTCCATCCGTCTGCAGAGTACAAATTATTCAAGACACATGAATGATGAAACCTGCATATTGACACAATGGGTTCCCTATATTAAGTTGTTTGGTTCCTCTTTTAAAAAGACTGTGTCATTGTCACGTCATAGGAAAAACACATTTGTCAGATTTTGCTGAAGTGGCAAAGAATAAGGACGTGGACGTTGGTCAGTCTGCCAATTGGTGTTTCTGTCAGCACTTCCATCCATAAGATATCTGGACAACTGGTGGCCAGATTGCCATGAAATATAAGCCTGATATTTATGGTTCTCAGAAGATTATACCTAATGTTGTTTACAGCCCCTCTGATCTTTACTGTGGCACCACCATCAGGAAATACCACGGAAGAAATTTACTGAGCACATTCATGCTCCGCAGAATATGCACCCTTTTCCCTTTTCCAGCATTGCATGTGCTCACCACGTCTTGTTTATACACAAGTTTCCACATAATAAATCTCAAAACCCAACAGGCAGATTGCCGTGACATTTGCATCATCATGCTTCCAAGAGGAAAATTGTTTTTTGATTTTAATCAGCACAAATGTTGCACTTTGAGCCTGACTGCGAGTAAAGCTCTGAGGAAAAAAAACAAAAAATATTCAGGATGTTTTTTTTTTGTTCTGTTCAATATTCTTTGTGATGTAGGGTGTAATGAATATTGCTGGGTTCACTTCCAGGGTTTTAGACTTGGAGGTCTTGTTAACATGCGTTTGTTAAAATGACACAAAAGCACAGACTTTGGAGTACCTCACTGCATACATTTGCATTTAAAGCAGAAAGACTGATTTTCCCAAAAGTGTTAAGACTGCTTAATGCTTTAAGTTATAAGTTTTATGTGAAGACAAGTAGACACAGAAGTACTTGATATTTCATAGATGTAAATAGAACTCTACATGTGCGTTAACCTCGTCTTGTTTTAAAGAAGGAAGTGATTTTGGGAAATGGTTTGCAAAACAACATTTGAGAATAAGTAAGAGAAGAAACAGATACTACTTTGGAAATGTCACATACCTACATCTCGTTTTTTTTTAATATATTTAGAACACTCATGAATGCATGACGATTGTCTGATCACTAACATCTCCTCTCTTACTCGACACAGATTCATTTGTGAAAGTGAATCTGATAAGTCGCAACAACAGAGTTACTGTTGGAGAAGATGTGGAGTTGATTTGCCGAGTCAAAGGTCCACGTGTGCCAATAACACTGACATGGAGCCTGCAGCGCGATGTGTCGGCAGTAGATACCATCCTGACAATGTACTCTGATGGCGGCATCAGCTGGTCTGGAGAACAGCAAGGCTACCAGGTGAAAGTACAGAACAAATCAAATGAAGTTGCTCACTATCTGCTCATCAACGGTGCGAGCCACAGGGAGGCAGGAAGCTATCAGTGCAGTGTGTCTGTCTTCCTGGAGAATGCACACAAGAAGCTGCCTCCATCCAACCTGCTGGCTGTGATGGTGCGGAACCCAGGTACTACTGAGATTTGCGAGGGCTACATGCCATCTTTGGCGCGATGAAAGCTTCTCTGTGAATTCTATTTCTCTGTGTTTCTCACCATATACGACTTAACATTTGTCTCTCTTTCCTAGTAAGCAAACTCGAGCTGACTTCCTCCCCCAACGTGATGACGAACCTCAACTCGGACGTAGAAATAAAGTGCTCTGTTACCTCAGAACCCTTTCCATCCTCTCGTTATGCCGTCACCTGGCTGCATCAGCAATTGGCAGAAAATCAGACCATGTTAAGGTCGGACAGGGATGCCCTAGTAACATTTGGGACCGACGTGGAGCTGAGCAACAGACTCAGCATGAGGCGCACTAAGGGCCCTAGTTTTGAGCTGACTATTCGGCAAGCTCAGATATCAGACCGTGGCTCATACATATGTGAGGTGGTGGAGTGGCTACAAGATCCTCGTGGTGATTGGTATCAGCTCTCGCCAGTGTCCAAAATCACAGAGCTTAAAGTTATCGAGCCTGGTAAGTTTATCTTTAATTTATCCCACACCATTTAAAAAATAATCATATAACAAAATGTTGACTTGTTTTACTGAGGTTTCTCTTCTCTGCCCACAGCCAACGATCTTCGTTTAGATATGAAGGAGCAGCAGCAGTTGATTTCCAGGGAGGGGGACGAGGTAGAGCTCAAGTGTAGCATCATCTCAGGTGCATCCATCCCTTCTTTCTTCTACAAAGTCACTTGGTTTTACACTGGGAACAGTTCCTCCGTCATGAATGTCCCCTTAGTAGAGCTTGATCACACGGGCCTGCTGAGGTACCCAGAGAACCAGGCGACCACAGGCCTTCAGGGGCGGCTTCGTCTCACCAGACCCAGCAAAAGCAGCTTCTGCCTCGGAATTCAGAGGGCCCAGGAGGGGGACAGCGGAACTTACCAGTGCCAGGTGGAGCAATATCAGCTGGATCATGAAGGTCACTGGCAGCAAAAGGCCTTAGACAGCGCTGGCCCGATCGCAGTCACGATAAACGTTGCCGGTATGATCACATCATTTAGAGCACTCTATAGGTAGCTTTATAAATGTGTTTGTGTGTTTGCATGGGTGTTTAAAGGAATAGCTTTGGGAAATCTGTCATTTGCTTTCTAACCAAGATGTAGATGAGATGATTGATATCACTTTGGTTAATGTAGCTTACCACAACTACGCTGCAGCTTCATAATAACTATAGTGAAGAGAGTGGTATCAATCATCTCGTTTCACTCTCAGTATGAAATAAGTGTATTTCCCGAAATGTTGCACTATCATTTTAAAAACTTTGGCAGACAAATGGCAATGCATTTGTATTCCCAATATCATAGAATGAAAAACACATGTTCTCTGAAAAATAGCCATTTTCCAATGCTTCTCTTAGCAATGTTGTTGGTGGTATTATGCTTTATGCCACTTGCTCTTCTTCACTGCCTCTTTTAGTACAGATACAGATGTGTTTTCTGTTTCTGCCCTTTGTAAAGCCTCTTAATCTCCCTTTTGCCCCCTTTCCCAGACTTCTCCCTCATCTGTCCATGTACCTAGGAATTTAATTTAAATCAGCTCTTTAAACTTAAGTTAAATAAAATGTCTTTCTCTACCTGTTTGCTTTTTTCATAGAGAAAAACCTGTCCATTCTAACGGATGAGATGGAGCAGAATGTGAGCACATCCCAGGACTTCACTATCCCCTGTAAAATCGTCAAACAGTCCAGCAGTGAATCTGAGTTCCAGGTCACATGGTTTTGGCAGAAGGAAACAGAAATTCAACAGCATCCCATATTCACAGTTTACCGAAACGCTACCCTACAAGACAGGTCTGGGAAGGGTGATCGGCTAAGATTTGGCCACTCCCTACCCAACCAGTTCAGCCTTACAGTCATGAAGCCAGATCCTGAAGAGAGCGGCCTGTATTTCTGTGTGGTAGAAGAGTGGCTCCCATCTCTGTCTCACGGGTGGAGGAAGTCTGCATTGGGAAAGTCAGGAAATTTGACTGTTAATGTCTATACAGATGGTAAGTACGGTGTAATGTGATTAGCACTTTTCTCTCATCAAATATCAGGTGCTGAAATTTATGTGAACTCGTGTGTATGTGGACACAAGTAATGCACCTCTTTGCCCCCTTTGCAGGAGGAGCTGTCTCTGAGCCACAGTGTAAGTTAGGTACCTGGATAGGGATTTTCGTAGTCCTTGTCATCTGCTTACTGGTGGTGATTTTCCTACTGGTGCTGAAGATATGCCGGAGCAAGGGCTCAGGAGGAAAGAAGTCAGGCAAGTCTCTGTGGGCAGAGAAAGTCCCCCTGGAGGCCAAACCCGGTGCAGAGGATTGAACCTAACAGGCTAGAACTGGAGAGGACAGCAGAGCAGAGTAACTGAGGATAAAAAAATCTATTCATATTTTTTACGCGCTATGTAGTATTATTTAATAATGTTTTATCATTTAAAAATTTGCACTTTACATATGTTTTTATTCATTTGTTATTCAAAGTTAAATAATTCTTCTTCTCTAAATCTGTTGATAACGCTCCATGAAAAAAAAATATGTTTAAATGTTTTACTCTCTGTGCAGCTGGGAATAATTTCGCCTTTATGAATTAATGAATTTCATTAAACCATTAAAATTAAACAGGCACTTTTCATTTTACAGCTAAAACATATTTGCATAATCACCAGCCTCTTACAGCTTACTTGCGATGGACAGTCAGGCTAGGCAGCATATTAACTTTGTGGCTTTGCACCTACAAAGCAACATACTCTGACTGGCAGATTCCTTTTTATGTAGCAACATACCAGGTGGTTTGATTCTATGTCTTTGATGAGACGAAGTCAAAGCTTAGTGTGTCTGAAGGAGTGGCTAAGCATGCAATGTGGTAAGATTTTGAAAAGTTTCTCAGAATGTATGACAGTGATGAATCAACCAAGAAGTGCTTTGTGGTTCTGTAAGAACACCGGATGTCTGTGTGGTCAACAAATGTGCTGATGTTTGTGTCTGTCTAACACAACTGTGCCCAGGTTACAATCATACAGCAGAAGTAGAGATCTGCTCAAGGTTTTACATACTTGTCTTGCTAAAGGTTAGACATTGTTTTAGATGATAAGCACATTTAATTTAAATGTGATTTCAGTCATTTCACTTCTAAGATAAGACATGGAGGCTGTATGTGCATGTACATTCCATTTTTCTATTACGTTGGCTCAACTCCAGCACATTGGATATGAAATAAAACAATAACTGAGATTACAATGTCTCATTTTCAAGGTGTTCATAGTCATAATGTTTGTGCAATTTAGGTATTGCAGACTTTTTCATACATAGCCCCCCTATTTCGGAACAGTGCGTCAGGCCTGTGCTCCTAAATGCACAGTCGGAGCATTTAGGGTGAGAGGAATGTTCTTGACTTGCCAAGTCAATAACCTCAATCCAGCTGAGCCTGCCTCGCTCTTCCTCAAGGCCAGACTGAAGCTGAAATCCACCAAAACAAGCAAGAAGCTGAGATGACTGCAGAACAGTCCTGAAAGACCATCATCCGATAAGATACCAAATTTCTGCTGGTGTCATCGAGTTGTAGAAAATCCACTGTGCCAAAACAACAAAACATCATGCAGTTACTCAATGAGCTGCACTGTACATGTATATGTTTGCATGTGAATGTGAGATCTTGAATCTCTGCCACATTGCAGCAGCTGCATTTTTAAAGATGTCCCTAGTCAACAAAACTGGATACCGGAGAGTTAACAAATCAAAATTAAAGAAGAAAGTAGTCTCTTTCTCTCTCTCTCTCTCTTTCTCTCTCTCTCTCTCTCTCTCTCTCTCTCTCTCCATCTCTCCTCCACATCTCCCCATTACTCCCTGCATCAGCCCTATCAATGTTTAACTCCCCATTCATGAAAGAGGCAAGAATAGAATCCATTTCTTGCTTTCACTTTTGAGGAAACAGGCCTGGACACTGAAATACTCCCATACTGAGAAAGACTCTTGTCCGATGAGTGCATACCAGTTATGTTCCAGTTAAGGTAAAACTAACTGGTTTTCTGAAAGACGTAAAAAAAAAAAAACAACTTAAAAGTACACTTAGGAACTTTCATGTAGGCTGTGGTTCCCTCGGCCCCAGAGAGATGATGTAGCACCGTCTTTAGTCTTGAATTATACCAGCCCTTCACAGTCTGGTGGACTAGCTCCCTCTTAACTTTATTGTAATTCCACTCCCTTGTGTTTCCATGGCAATGCCTGTCAGAGCAAACAAAGAAACATTGAATTTGGAAGGCAAATCAATGCTTGAGTCTACGCAGCAAAGACGAGACATTGCGGGGACAAACTAGCGAGTGCAAGGGCAGCCATGCTAGAACTTCCCTGTGATGCTCTGCCTTAAAATCTGATCATTAACATATTAAACAGTCATATCATCAGTTTTTGTTCTTGTCACAGTGATACTGTTGCATGCAGTGCATAGTCAAAAGTGGGATTCACAAAACCACATCTGTAATCTTTCTCTTCCAAAAGCCCACATGTGTTCGAAGACATTTTGGTTCCCAGTTTGCCAGCATGTAGCTGGATGCTTTAAGCTGGTTATCTCTAATGCTGTGATCTCATTCCAGATCTGATTTGGCATCAATTTGATGCTCTGTCCTTCATGTGCCATGAATGGATTTATGAAAACTTTGTAACTATTGTCTGCTATAACATCTTGAACTGGGTGAACATAATTACAAACACTACTAGGAAAGTTATACCACATTGATTGTAAATCAGTAATATCCCAGCAGTATATCTGTGGTTAAAGCAACAGCTGCCAGTTAATGGGCAATTAAAGTGAAAGAAGGTTTGCTTAATATACTTATGTGAAAGCAAGACTATCTCTACTTCGCATACCGGCAGGCTTAACATCATTCTTTCAGTGCATTGTATTCAAGTTTCCCAGTGTGAAGTGACATTGTGCACACTGTCTGTCAGGTTTACTGACACACCTAAATGGCACCATGCCATCATCAGTGTTAATAGTTTCACTTCAGCCCTGGTGATGCCCTGACTTTTCATCTGGCACCTCCAGCAGGTCACAATTTTCACTTGAAAATACCTCAACTCTAACTTGACAGATTGGCACAACCTTACGTACAGACATTCATGGTTTCCAGGAGTTGAATCAACCAACACATGTGATCCCCTGACTTTTCCTCTAGCGCCCCCATGAGGTTGACGACCGTGGTGCAGAATGAAGTGTCTTAACTACTGAATGGTTAGCCATGAACTTTGGCAGTCATTCATTTCCCCATTAAAATGAATTGCAATAACTTTGATGATCCCTTGACTTTATATTTAGCGCCATCATCAGGGGAAAATGTTGTTTCATGAGCAAATACCTGCAAGAAAGGGCATTCCCATCAGTGCTGGAACGTTAACACACGAAACTAAGATGGTGGCATGCTGACTGTTGACTCCTTTTGTTATGAGAGGTCAAAATGTCTTCTGGGAGAAAGGTCTTCTTTGGTCTGCTATCCATCGTGTCTCTCTTACTGTCATCTGTAGCAAAGACTCCCTATATGACTCACACACACACACGCACACACACACAGGAAACAGCACAAGTGATCAAAGTTTGCCCTAAAACACCCTCCTGAACAAGAGGATAATGTGTCCTGGCAGAGGTAGAGATGACACGAGGGGCGAGAGACACTCAAGCTACCATCTGCACGAATTATGTAATACCTCTCCTGAAATCTGAAAGTCTTCTCTGAAGCCTCCTCTCACCTCAGCTCACTGAATCTCTTTGCTTATACCCTCAACCCCTCTCTACTCCCTCACGGCCCTGAATGCCTTTGATACTCCCTTTTCTCACAAGGCTAGGGCACAGGCCTGACAGGACTGCCTTCTGTTCCTCACCCGAACCTAAAGCTACATGGTTTTACTCTCTCTTTCTCTTTTCTCACTGCGTTCGTCTCACTCTCTTCTCTGTTTCTCCACAATGCAAGTCTCATTATCTGCCAGCACTAGAGGGAGCTATTGTTACCCAGAAGGACAGAGACATACAAAACTCACCAGGTTAACATGAGTCAGAGTCCTTCAGAGCCTGTCATCACAGCACCCAGTCTGAGAATTTCTTTCTCTGCTTTGACTTGTTGACTCTTTCGGCCCTCGCAGCTTGGTGAGCAAGTCGGTGTCTGTGGGTGTAATGGAATAGAGGCCTACACAGTTGGAAGGAGACGTACAGCACAGGTGGAGAGTCTAAAAGTCAGCCTAAGGTCTCGGAGGGTGTCATGGTGACGCCTCAAGACTGCACATGGTCACCTAGAATAGCAGGATTTGAGAAAAGACAAAGCAAACTGAGTGTGAGTGATAAGCCGCGGCCTCTTCACACAAACATGGTGAGAGAATTCCCTCATTTATCCAACCCAACTTCAACACATAAATATATAGACACACAGACTGTATACAAGTCTCTAAACTGTTAAGAGCTGTCTGCCTTTTCTTGTTCAGGCCTGATTGTTATCCCCAGAGATGTTGCCGGTTGGTAGACGGAGCTGGAGAGTCCAAAATAAAAACAGCTTAAATGGTGCAATATGAAGTAATAGCCTGTTCTGCTCCCTGTCAAGGGAGCTCTCAACAAACTCAGAGCTCCCGTTTTTTTTATTTATTTTTTATTTTTTTTCTTTCACAGCTGTACTCTCACATACTGGAACTGCACAGATGCACATCCCAAAACTGCTTTATCTGTGTGCCTCCTGTTATGATAATGTAACTCACCAATATGTACAGTATGCATTTGTCTTTCATGTTTGTGTGCCTGTCAGTGTACTTGTGCATGTGCATATGCTGTTGCCGATACCTTTAATCATATTTGCAGTACGCTGTGTCTCCCCTGACAGACAAAAAAAAAATAGAGAGGATGATGATGACAAGTGTAGATGTCATTATAATAGCACCATTGAGTATTTACTGATTCATGTGTCAAACTGAAATCAATCCAGCATTTTTGTTTTTTTGTATTGTGCCAGTAGACACATGAATAAAATAATGAGTCTTCATTGAACCTATTCCTCCCATGTCAATCCTTCTCTCTTATTCTCCACAGAGGAATGTATTCAACAGGACAGCAAGGACATTTACATCCCACTAGATTTTTCGTTTCAGGATTAAATGCAACATACTTTCTGATAAAATGATAACAAACACACTGTTGGTGCCTTATAGGACTGCAGGGGCTTTTACTGCGAGACTGCTGCGAGCCTTGCAGCTACTGGTCATTATCACAGCTGTCATCATCCATGCTAGAATCATTCAGAAATTCTCTTTAATAAATTATTGGGCATTTATATCAAAGAAACATCAGTGACAGCAACATGTGCCCAATGTGAATAACTGATGACATATCTAACTAATACAGTGGGAGTTACCATGCATCTATTTGGCTTGCAGACGACACGCTG